GATAAATTTGAACAGTGGACACCCTCATGTGACAGGAACGTGGGGCCTCGCCTCCTCTCCATGGAAGGAGCAGAGCCTGCAGCGGTGCCGTGCTCGTGGAGGAGCGCTGAGCAGCCCCTGCTGCATCTGGCCCAAAGGTCCTGGGTCAGGTAACTGCTGAGAAGCTCTTGGGATGTTAAAGGAAACATCAAGCAGCTGGACATGAAAGGCTTATGCTGGATGCCCTGCCTCCGCCCAGCCTGCCTTCCTCAGCTGGGCATTGAGCCCCACTTGCTCCTCAGTTTTCTTTCTCCAGGAAAAGTCCAAGTTCCACAGCACATTGAGATGGGGTACCTTCCAATGAGAGTAGGACAGTGGGGTTTGCATTTTTTTTTTTCCAAATCATGAAAGATTTTCTGTAATTTTAAAACCCTGGCCAATTTCTCTGCTTCCAGAAAGCCAAGTGTTGGCCCAGGAGTGTTTTCCAGCAAGGAGCAAAAAAGCCATGAGCTCAGACCTAACTTTTTGAAATACATCTGACCTCCTTTTGAATTCCCATGGGTTTTCTTAATGACATTTTTTTTTCCCAGTCTTGCAAAGAATTTAACTTTAGTCAGGGAAAAAAGATGCAGAGCTCTGCGTTAGTCCAAGCAGTGACCTCCCAGGGAAGGAAGCAAACCAAAGCATTTGAGGGGTCATTGTCATCCTTGGTCTTGTGTGGGGCATCGCCTTCCTGCCTGCCCCTAGCTTGGAAACAGCAAATATGGGCCCTGGGTGGGTTGGATGATGCTCATCACCACGTCCTTGGTGTCACTGTCACCTCTGGGAGCTACAGCAGTGTCAGCAGGGTGGCCCCACAGCTCTCCCAGAGATGCAGAGCGCTGCAGTAAGCAGGGGCTGATGTCTCAGCAACAGGCACACAGCTCCTGAAGGTGTTCGTGAGAATTCAAGGACCCCTTCTGACCACCGGCCTCCATTTGCTGCCAAAACTCAGGCAAGAAAATGGGCCTCCTCGTCCTAACTCTGATTTACTTTTTTTTTTTTAACTTTATTTTTATTATTTTTTATCTGCTATTCTTGCCAGTTCTTGTGATGAGAAATTGTTAGCAGCAGTTTTTCCTCTAATTACATTTTTTTTTTTTTTTTTGGCAATGCTGGGCCTTTTCTGCAGCACTACCCACTGAAAAGCTTGATCAGCTTTGCTACAATTAGGCACTTTCCCTCATTTATGGGTCAGTCTGTGCAGTTCAGGCACATGCAGCTGTATACAGCAGGGTTTGGAAATACCAACTCTTCAGACATCTGACTTTCCTTGTGATAAATGTTTGGTTGTGGCATGTGCTCTGTTTGCTGATTGAAATTATTTTCTCTGTAATAGAAGCTCTCAGTGTCTCTTCTAATGTGAGGAGGAATAATTAAGTCCTCTTGGTAATGCAAATAAATAATGCCATTGGAGAGTCTTGAGTGCATCATAAATCATCAGCGCTGTGTTCCTGAGATGCCACATCCTCGTGTCCTGGTGCTGAATGATTGCAGCGGGGTTTTATCATGCGTCGTGTACCGATCACCTGCCGGCCTAATGCCACCTCTAATGTCACTGCCTGAGGAGGTCGGTGATGCTGTGGTGTCCCCGAGGCAGTGGCAGTTTAAGTAACCCCTGTGTAACAGCGATGGAGCGTCTCAAAGGGTGCGACCACATTTCTTTTCCAAACAGGCCTGCGATGGAGAGATGCTGCCATTGCTCCATCTGCACTGAGGTGCAGGCACTGTAGGCCTAGTCCAGGAAAATCCAGTCCTATGTTATAATCATATGTTTATATACAAATCTATAAGCACGGGGACATTTCTAAAATATATAGCAATTTATTATTATTATTTTTATTATTATTTGAGCCTTTGAAATCCATACTGAGCGTCTGGGCATGGGATCTTTTTCCATTGTGCTTATTCCTCAAGTCATAGCCTACATGCTCTGCCCTCGGGGCAGGCCTTCTCTGGGGGTTGGAGGGGGTGCTGCTGGGCCTCTGGGATGCAGCAACCCGGTGCTGAGAGCATCAGGAGCACCTTGTGGAGTGCGGTAAGTGGAAGTGCCTCATCTGCAAAGCTTCTTGCTTAGAAGTGAGCGTGTGGTTCCTTCCTGCAGCATTGTGCAGGCTTGGGTAAGTCCAGGCATGCCCGGAGATGTTCCAAACAGAGCTAGACACTTTCCTTACACCTCAAAATGTCTCTTTTTGCTTGTGTCTGTCTCCAATGACCTACAGCAGTTCTGTGGCTGGAAGCCAGCGCGTGGATGAAAACCTCGGCTCGTCCCTGTGGTTGATCATAAGGCAAAAACCTCTGCTCCCCCCTGCTGAGGGGAAACCTCTCCGTGCAAAGCACCAGTGACTTGTTGCTGCTCAGAAAAGCTGCAGGTTTTTCTGAATGAATGCTAGCAGCTTCCTTCTGCTGAGACAGCCTAGCTTGTTTAGTCTGGCCCTTCTACGGAGTCTGGCACGTGAGCGTGGAAAGCAGCTGCAGGAGCTGCTCAGTGCTGCAGGAGCACACGGGCACCCGTCTGGCATGCGGGCTGGCTTCTGCATCGCCCAGCCCTGGGAGGGATTTCCTGGGTTGTGGGGGGGAAGCTGGACCCGTCTGTGGGGATGGGAGCCCTGGTTTCCCTGAGGTCAGTGTCGCAGGAAGGAGAGTGCACAGGGGGCAGTGGGTGCTCTGCTCCTGCCTGCTCCTGGTGCTTGTGGGAATCAGCAAGGAGTGGCCAAATGTCTGGGTGTAACTCCTAAAGAGACGTCTGTTTGGTCTGAGGATGCAGAACTCAGCACCAGCCCTGAGGCCCTGCCTTGTGCTCCTGATGGAGCCATAACCAGAGCTCCCCGGAGATGTTCCCGATGCCCAGGAGAGCTGAGGTCCCTGCACTGGGCGTGTGGTTGCAAATATCCCCCAGCAATTTCCCTTGCAAATCATCCATGCCTTGAAGCATTGCATAAGCCAGAAACTGATGCTGTTCTGCAGGCTGCCATGCTGTGTGCTGGGGTTGTGCTGGCTGCTGAGCGCAGGGAGAGAGAGGAGGCAAACCCAACACTTCCCCATGAGGGATGGCCTCGCCCCTGGCTGCGGGATGGTGGCCCCAGTGGCCCTGTTGTGGCCACAGAGCAGGGCGAGAGGAGTTTCAGTTCTGTCCGTGCTGGAGCAGAGGGCGCTGGAGCCCGAGGAAAATCCCAGGACTGCAGCCAGCAGCCCTAAGGACAGATCCTGGGCTCTGTGGCAGCTTCTGCAGGATGTCTGCTTGTTGTGCTCATCGTGAGGGGCAGTTTTCCCCTCAGCGAGGCTGGTGGCTGTGGTATCAGGCTGGGCAGCGTTTTTCCTCCAAGACAGATTCCCGCCTGCTTCCCTGCAACTCTGGGTTTCCAGCCTCTTCCCGTAGCACCCTGCATCAGCTCAGAGCAGCTGGTGCTTCCTTGCCAAAGGGAACAGCACCTTAAATAAAACCCAACTGGCTGCCTGTTTGTTGTACTCAGGGCCGTCACTGGGTAGTCCTCTCAGCCCACGTGTCGGTTCTGTTACCTGAAGAAAATCTTTAGACTGCTTGTTCTTTTTTGGATGCAGTGATCTTGGCCTGCTGACTGTTTTTCTCCTGTTCTGTGACCTTTTGGGTTGGTTTTTAGGCTTTAACACGCTTCTGTTTGGCTGCAGGATGTCCCTGTTGCTCTAGCAGCAGGGGGGCTTCATCACGACAGTCCTGCACCAACAGCGTGCAGAAATGTGACCCCTGCGTGGGCCTTGGCCCTCTGCTGCTCCTGGCAAGGACACGGCCCTGCTGGGGATGGGGACAGGTCCTGCTGGTCCCCTGCTGCTGCCATGGGCACCAAGCCCTGGGGCTCAGCCTGGGTGGCTGCTTTATAGGCTCACAGTGAGCTCAGCCCCATTAGCTCAGCGATTCTCTGGCCAAAGGCACAGCAGCCCTCCCTTCCCAAAGGAGCAGTACCAGTGGGATTAGCTCTGTTCCCTGCCTGTAGCCTGGATGGGTCCCCTGGGAAAGGAGCCAATGTCCCAAGTGATTCTGTGGCCTCGTAACCCAAATGTGTCCCACCAGGGAAGAGAGGGAGCAGCCCACTGCCTCATGTAATGCTTGTGCGGTGGGGGTAAGTGATGCGTTTAAAGGATTAACTATTCCTTTCCCTTCCCTGGTCTTCTCTTTACCTTGACAGCCAACAGAGTGAGATAGAGATTGCTCTATCTTGTGTGTGACCACAAGAGATTAATTAAACGGTAAGCCCTAATTACCGAGGCTAAGGCTGGCCGATTTACCGTGCCTTGTAAAATAGCTGAATACTTAATTTACACTTGAATGTGGACATAACTTTGGCCATTAGCTGAATAAACAACGAGCACCCAAGCTAGACGGATGGGTCGGGGAAGAGGTGCCCGTTATAAATAGAGCCATCTCCTGGCACGGCGCTGCCTGCCAGCTGCCAGCAGGGTTTTCGTGGTGAGGGGGAGCTGCCCTGCAAAGCACCACCCTGCCTTGAGCCTGGGGGATTCCCTGCCTGTCAACCTTCTCCGGCTTTCAAAGCTGCTTATCAAAGTCGTTGCCATTTGCATTTCACTGCAGGTTGGGGGGAAAAAAAAAAAAAGGAAGATACTGAAAGACATGAAACAAAAAATCCCAACTCCCAGTGCAAGGCAGTGGAAGTAGGGCATCTATCTCCTCTTCTTCTTTTTTTTTTTCTCCTGCCTTTCAATATCTGCCTTAATAACAATAATAGATTCTGAGAAGTGCAAGTTAATCTGTAGCTCCGGAGCTTTTTATTGTGTTTCTCCCTTTTTGTGTGCATTAACCTTTCAAGTCTTAGAAGGCTGCAGAGTGTACGGCTGCTTTTTTAATTCCTATTATTCTTGCTTGCTGCATGGTTCTCAATTTGGTCCTAGACAGAGTAACAGCACATCCACCCATTAACTGTGTCTCATTGAGCACTTCACCAAACCTTCGGTCTGTCTGTGAAATTTGTGTTTTATGTGTGTTGGAGCTCCCAAGTGAATTTAAGGCTTTGCTGAACCTGAGCACTCTGCAAAGGAGGAGGGAACGTCACAGGACTCTGGAGATAACTGAAACAGGGAAAAGGTAAGCAAAGGACATCTTGATGCCTGTTTCCAGAAGGGAGAAATTCAGGGATTTGAAGGCCTTACGTGTGTTCATGTGCCCACAGTCACAGTGAGAGCCCAAAGCAAAGCCTCCCATGTCTCCTGGGTCTAGCCCAGCCACGCTGCCCATTAACCAAAGTAACTCCTGCAGCTGCTGGCTTTTCGGAAAGGGGGAGAACTGATTTCTGCCTGCATATCAGGCAACTATCTACCATCTCCTCTCAATGCTCAATTTTTAAGGCAATTTCTGTCTTAAATTTCACATCTTCATATGCTTGCACTCTTTTATCTTGTGCCACATGATCTGAAGACCACATATAGGAAACTAACCCTTGTTTTTTTTTTATCTGACCAGTTGTTACTAAAACCTGTTTTATTTCCTAGGTTAAAAGGTCCCTGAAAAATCACCCTGAAACTGGGAAGACCTACGATGTGAAAGGATTCAAAGATCCTCTGGGGAACGTTGAAGCAGCATTCTGCAAGGCGAAGTGATGCATGAGGTTAGTGACACTGGCGTGGTTCAGGCTTCACCTGGCTTTCCTAAATCTGTACCAAGGGATGAGGCTTAAATCCCACTTACTGCAGTTGCAGCTCTTTAGATACTGTCTCTACTCCATACTGCTTCATTCATGCATAGTGATGTTTTCTGGGAGATAAGCTTGCTCAGACAGCTGTTTCCAGCTGTTCCAGAGCAAAGGCTCTATATTAGCGTGTGAAAATACTGTAGAGGTTATCGGTTCCCCCTGCCTCTGTTCCTCCCTCAGACACACTGCACACACAAGTGCTCTGTTAAGGATAAGTGCAACTGGCAAATTTTTGCTGACATTAGGTGTAGAAACAGCTACTGAAGCTGCAAGTATCCGAAATCAAACTGTCATCCTCCTTGCTGTTACAATATGGACTGTCACCACAACTGCCATCCTGCATCTGGGGAAGAACAGGGTGTTCCCCTCCTTGTGCAATGTTGCATTTCAGTCCCCAAGCTCTTCAAAACCTCAGAAGACCTTGGGAGTCTGGGTTCTCCTCTGTCTTGTCCTTGGGCATCTCATGGCAAACCTGGAGCCATTTCCCTGTGTGGTCCTTATTTATTTTTCCATCTTTTCTCTTTATGCCTGAATAGTTCTGCTTCTCCATCATGGAGACGATGACAAACCCTTGGTCCTTGATCAATCTGTATGCAGTAAGAACACAGAAGATAATCCAGGCAAAGTGTGATTCATTTTGCAGTGTGATTTGACATGCACATGATGTGCTGGGAGCTTTACAAAATACACAGCAGGCATCTGTGGGGGCCAAATACACCATGCTGGTTCCATGCAGAAAGGAACCTGGGAGCAGGTCTTCAACTTGTTCTGACCTTTGGGTAAGTGACTGATAAAATTCCTCCTTAGTAAATTTCTCTGACTTTTCTTTGCCAACCCACGTAGCTCCTGATCGGGACCAGAAGAGTCTTGGTTGCTCTTATAGTTCTTATGATGCTCCTGACTCTTGGATTTCAAGAGTGACTCTCACCCAGAGCTGGGCCTACACATTACTCTATGTCATCTGCAAAGTTGTTTTGACATCGAGATATATTGAGAAGCAACTGGGCAGATTTTCAGAAGAGCCTAAGCAGAGGCTAGACCTGAATCTTAATGAGGATTAGATGTCTAATCAGTTTTGTGCCACAGACATATATCTGCTGAAAGGCCAAGGCTCACCAAATCCTCCTCTCTGGTGACCAAGTCCTCATCTGAATTGGAGTCCATAGCCATGGAAGAGGAGTGCTTGCTGCCTTTCCTTGCTGGCTGGTTGGTCTCAGAGACCAGCGGTGTAGAAACAGTCTTGGAAATGCCAAGGAGAATTCAAATAAGAAGCCTGATGTAAAAACAGATTAGCGCTTCCTATCCTTCATCTTGCTCAAGTCCCCCTGCTGTGAGCACCTGGGTGCCTGCAAGTGGGCTGCTTTGTTTTTTGACAAAGGAAGGAAAGTCTTGGTGGGACTTGGGCTTGGTGCAGGGACGTTGTGGGCCACCGACACCAGAAGAATTCATGGACAGCCTTGTGTTACTGTGTCTTGTGATTTCAGAGTTAACGGTTGCCACGAATTTTCTAATGTGAAGCTGACTTCCTGAGCTGACTGCCTGGTTATCTGGCTGCTTGGGGCATGCAGCAAAGATGCCAGCAGACTTTGTTTCACTAACAGCTTCCACAGCCAAGGAATGGCTGCTGGGTTTTGTGCCATAGGTGCTAGCTTGGAGGTTTGTGCACCTTCATGCAGGGATGAGGTTACTGCCACCCAGCCACAGCCCAGGGGCTTTGCCTCATCTCCCAGCTCGTGCCCTGAGCTCTGGGGGCTGGGTCTCTCTTACTCTGCATTTGTACAGCAACTAATGAACGGTAAGTGGCCCCATGGCTCAGGGCACTGTTTGTGTTGCAGACAATACCATGATGTGACACGTGCAGAAGAGGGGCTGTATCTTTGTGAGGCTTCTCTTTCCCTTTGTTCACTGTTTTATCCTGGTATTACTGATTAAAAAATAACAGAATCGTTTCCACCGCCCTCCCCTTGCTGTTTTTTTGCATAGTGACATTTGGCTTCTTCTGGTAGAGTCAACTGCAACCTTTAATAATTCTCTCTACCTGCCTCACAGCAGGATCTTCCTCTAGCACAGCTGGTGCAAAATGCACATATGCAGGCAAGGAGAGAAGTCACTGACTAGGAACACCTTGGTGAGCTGCTTTTCTTGGCCTGGAGCTGCAGACCTTCCTGTGGTATGGAAGGCGATACGCAGTCTGTCATTTAACTATTTTGAGGAAATGTGCTCTTGGGAGCTGCACTATTTGGCAATGACTTGGGTCCAGGGCTCCAACATGCATGGGGTTGAAATGGCTGATCTGTTCCTCAGCCTTGCAAATTTGGAGAGGTAAATAAGAGCCCACTTACAGCTCTATGACCCCAAAGCTCACCTGCAGTTCCTACAAAATATCTCCCTTGTAGCTTGTTTGTTGGTGTGTGGCACCAGAGGGGATACTGGGGTTGTGTCCCTACTCCCCAGGACATCTATGCTCAGATCTCCGGGGCACCTCGAACTGGAAATACCCTGGAAACACCCCCGGTGATGGATCTGGACTGTCTGGGAGTCCCTGTCAGCCACTTTGCCAGGGCAGAGGGTTGTCTGAGTGTCCCAGGCCTCTGATGTGCAGGCACCTGGGCTATCCTTCCAGTGTCTTTGCCTGGTCCCAGCAAGGCAGGCTTTGCCTGGCCAGATGGAAGTGCTGCGCCGAAGCCCAGCCACCTGCCTCAGGCTCGCAGATCTGGGTGGAGGGGAAAGTCCAGGGAAATGCTTGGTTGCCTGGCAAAGCTGCTCAGGAGAGGAGGGGAGGAAGGCTCCTCGCTGAAGCCGAGGCAACCATGAGTGGTGTCATCTGCTCACCTTTGTCTTTAGGGCTTACTAGGAGGAGTTACTCATGACCGAATCCATTTTTAGAACTTGCTGTGAAATGCTCTTTGCCCTCCTGTAGTGGTAGATTATAGATGTCTGACCTGTTTTAGCGCTCCATTTTTTTTTCACTTTCTCTTAACTCCCCTGCTCTTTTCATAATCTTAAGAAGCCAAACTAAATCCAGATGCTTTCCCTTTTAAAGCTCAAATAATCCTTGCAATTGCAATCGCTTTCTTGTGTTTAAAGCTTTCAATGCTAAAGATCTGTGTGATCTCCACTATGGTGTGAATGGGGGGGCAGGGGGAAAGAAACAAACCCTGAGCATGCAGATTGAGGGAAAGGGCAAGTGGTGGTTTAACAGAACATCCCCACGCCATGCTGGCATCACTTTCTAGCTGTCACCAACACCCCCACCACTGTTGGATGACGCTGCTGCAGCACGGTGCTGGGGAGTTGGTTTGGGGGAGATGTAGAGGTTCGGTGGCTCGTGGGCTCTGGGTGGAGAGAAGGGGACAGGGAAGTCAGAGTTTTTATCTGTTTTACCTGTTTTTTGCCTGTTTTTATCTGTTGTTTACCAGACTTTTTACCAGTGCCATTTGATGCTGTGTGTTTTTATGTTTTGGACTTTTCAGTGCTGTCCCCCCCACTGCCTATCTTGTTGGACTCAGGCATAAAGAATTGTGTAAGCTGACGTGTTCAATTTTTCAGGTGCTGGTTTCTTTCAGAAGAGCTGGGGGATTATTGAAAGTGGCATTTCCCCTTCCAGTGGTTACTGACAAAAAGAGCCACATTTTTCTGCTGTGTAATGTGAGACCACAGCATATGCATGTACATGTGTTAGGTTTAGTGACCAGAAGCAGAGAAGCAAGAATTTAGACAACGAAATAGATCAGCTGGGAGGAACTTGCTTTTCAGATGAAAATATAAATCCATTAGAGCAAAACTGCAGTGAGGATGATGATGTTTTTAGGGAAAGCTGTAAGGGGGAAAGAGAAGGGCTGTGTGCTCCCTGCGTTCTCCCCTGTAAAATAAAGCAAGGGGTCCCCTGGTGGCCCAGCCATGGGGATCGGGTTGGGGTGATGCTCAGGGTGTGAAGGAGAAAATGAGAGGGAACACACCTTGGTCTGTGCCCAGGGACACTTAGGGTGCCCCAGAGATGCTGAACTGTTGGGCACTGGAACAACCTGTTGGCAGCTGGAGTGCGAGGCCTTGCTTCCCGCAGACATCAGCTTTTCCCAGTGACTCCAGCATTTGATTCAATCCACAAATCAGCAGTATTGGGCTTGGGGTAACTCCTGCTTTAAGTTCTCCAGCCCTGTGGCCTCCCAGACTGTGTGTGGAAAGGCACAGCTCGCTGACCTTGTCCCCAGGCCTGGCAGAAACCAGGTGGCCATGTCAGGGTGGCCGCTGTTGCTGTGCCCAGCCCTCGAGGCAGCAGCATGTGCTGCACCCTCCTCCCTTGCTGCTTCCTTCTACAGCTCCTTGAGTCAACGCTGCTCATGCCGGCTGCCGGTGCTGCCTCCGAGGGCATCTCCTGGCTGTGCTGCAGCACGAGGAAGCCCTTCGGATGCCAGAGGCCTGTGTAAGAAGTGGGTTTCTTCCGCAGAGTCACCCTTTTGGATGCTACCGGCCCTTATTTGTGAAAACCCTCTTGCTGTCTCCTGAAGCCAGCAGATGTTATTGCTACAGACTTGCCTCGTTGGTGGGTTGGTTTTGAACTGAGACAGCTTGGATGACTAAGGCAAAAACACATTAGCAGAGTCCAGGGTTTCCTTACTGTGGGGGAAGCGAAAATGTCCCCCTGTTGACAGCCCTGACTTCTCTTGAGGATCCTTTCTAAAAATTAATAGTTTTTATTGCTGATTTAGCCTATAAGTAGAGGAAGAGTATCCTCACCTGCTACTGCAATGACTGTTGGCGTGAGGCGCTCTGGAAGCAAGGCACAGCGAGCTCTGACTTGTGGTGGATGGGAGCAACAGAGGCTGTTGGAGTAAACAGGATTAAAGGATTTCACCCATAAATACAGGATTAAAGGTATCCAGAGCTCTGTAGGAGTCATTCAAACCAAGGGGGATGCAAAGTAAGTTGTCCAGAAGGTTCAAACCAGGCTGCGTGTGCCCAGCTCTGCACCACCTCACCTGCATGTCTGTGGACATCAGGGGGCTCGCACCTGCCTCCATCCATATCTGTCCCTGCTCCTGCGTTGGGTCTGGCTGATGAGACCCCCAGAATGAGACCCCCATTGCCCCAGACTTCTGTGGGGTACACTATTGGGGTTGGGGGGCACCCCTATTCCCCAGGGCGGGTGGGTGGGGGCATGGGTGCAGCATCCGGGCAGGGGCGCACAGGCGCAGGGGTCGCCTCCCCTGTTCCCCCCGCCTCTCCCTGTGGGTCGGGGGGCGGTGGGTTCGATTTCTCCCTCCCCCGCCGTCCCGGGGGGCGGCCGCGGTTCCGCCGTATTTAGCGGGGTGGGCGGCGGCGGCCGGGCTCCATCCTTCCCTCCCCGCCTCCCGGTGCCGGTGACTGGAGCGGGCGGAGCCGCGGCGAAGGATTGGCTCCGGGCATCACATGCGGCGGGGCCGGGCCGGGCTGAGCCGAGCCGAGCCGTGCTGTGCCGGGCTGGGCTGGGCTGGGCAGGGCACGGCGGAGCGCTCCGGCGGCGGGCACGGCAGCAGCGCGGCCCCTTTCCAGCCCCGAGCCCCGCCGGAGGCACCGCGCCCGGCCGGCACCAGCCCCGCGGCCCCGGCCATGAGGTCGGGCCGGAGACACGGCACCTGTGCGGGGAGGTGAGCGGAGCCTCGGAGCCTTTCCCTGCACCGGCAGCCCCCGGTGGCGAGAGAAGAGGAGGGGGTGTTGGAAGGGAAGGTTTTTTTTTTTTTTTTTTTTTTTTTAAATCCAGCTCTATATTTTGGTGCGATCCATCCCGACCCCGCAACTGAAGCCCCCGGAGGGAGAAGTGCTGCGCGCTGTGATGCGTCTTCCTCTCGCTTCGGCTGCCAGTTTGGATTGTAGCGCCCGGCTCCGTGCACTGCGAGGATGGCTCGGTTCGGGGATGATCTGCCAACACGCTATGGAGGTGGAGGGCCAGCCGGGGCTGGAAGAGGGAGCAGCCGGCAAGGTGGCCCCCAGGCCGGCCAGAGGATGTATAAGCAGTCGATGGCTCAGAGAGCCAGGACTATGGCTCTCTACAACCCCATCCCTGTCAAACAGAACTGCTTCACAGTCAACAGATCCCTCTTCATCTTCAGTGAAGATAATGTTATACGGAAATACGCCAAGCGAATAACAGAATGGCCATATCCTTTCAGGGAGGGCGTGTGGGCATTGGGGGGGAAGGTGGGGAGGGGGTGACTGGGGGAAGAGACCCCTGTAGTCAGCTGAGGATGAGTGTCTGGTGCTAATATAGACGTGCATGTGTGATTCGGTGTGTGATGGGTGTGTGTGACATGGAGCCTGGTGTCCGACATAATGTACGGCCGTGTAGCTTGGTATTACAGAAAATTGCTTCTGTGGGAGCGGCAGAGCGTGCTTTTGACTATGCCAGGGGTGTAAGGCATACGTGAATTCTGGTGTGTATTTAGGTGTGAGATATACAGTTGCATAGATTTGCATTTCCTATGATTTCAACCAAATGCAAAGGGATCTGTGAGATTCCTGCTAATGAAACCTGATTGTTATTTCCATCTTAGAGCCTTACAACTCTTATTTCTCACTCTGAATAGAGGAAGAAACGTAAGATAAAAATGGTGACACCTTGGCATTGAAGCTGCACTGATAGTAGAGATATCGATAGCCAAGATACCTTGCAAAATCCGATTACAACCATTACAGCTGGGTTTTTAGTACATCACCTCCTGAATGCATTGGCACCAACATGAATCTTGTCAGTTTGAACTAGGTACCTCGCCTAAGCTTAGGGTGTTCTAAAACAAAAAATAAAAATAAAAAAAAAAAAAGCAAAGCTTCGTGACAGGAGGAGGCAGTAAGTGGAGAGAAGGCTCATCTGCTGTATTGTGAAAGGGGCAGATGCTTTCTGTCTCAGAACCAGCTTCTAGGCCAAGTGAGCTGCAGAGATCTTCCTTAGAAGGGGGCTCTGCTTGTAATGATGCACACGGTGGGGTTGTAAGCTGTGAGAAAGGGAAGCAGGCTCTTCTTCCAAGATTATTTGAGGTTACCAGGGAGTAGATATAGTACATGAGTGTGTGCGTGTGTGTGTGCATGTACGGGAGTGCATTACACTGGTGATCTCAAGGGAGCTGGTTGTTTGCTTTTCATTTAATATCACACACCTAATAATCCCAGCTAACATCAGCAAGGCCTCCTCCCAGCCTCCTAGCAACACTTTCAATTGCCACAGAGGCCGTTCCCTTCAGGCTTCCCCAGCTTTCACTTCCAGAGGGGCTAACAGGAAAAAAATATACCCCAGTAGAGTGAATGCACTTCCTTTCCTCCTGAACACACGCTCACACACGTATCGATCTCTCTGTCCCTGTTATAAAATCGCAGGCAGGGCTGTATTTCCTTATCCACGTCTCCTTCCCTGCGTTCAGCCTGAATAAACAAGCTCCAAAGCCCCAGTGGCAGTCGGAGCAGTGCATTTCCTGCAAGGCTGGATACGGTCTGCTCCCTGCCCAGCCCTTGGGTGCCCTCTTCATCGCTCGGCGTGGGGACGGCACCCACGGTGCTGCGGAGGCAGCCTCCTGGCAGAGCCCCCGGCCGCTCCCCGCACCGCCGTGTGCCCGGGGGGCCTGGGCAGGGGTGGCGCTGAGCGGTGCTGAGCAGGAGCTGACCATGGTGCTGAAAGGAGCTGCCCGTGGTGCTGAGCGGAGCTGTCCGTGGTGCTGAGCAGTGCCCAATGGAGCTGCCCATGGTGCCGAATTGAGCTGCCCGTGGTGCTGAGCAGTGCTGCCCGTGGTGCGGCTCCGCCCTGGGAGCTCAGGGACTTGCCACAAGCCAGGGCTGGAGGCGAGGGCAAAAGGCGCGGGGGTACCTGGTGCCGGGTTAGCTTCTGTCCTGTGGGCTCCCTTCCCTCGCACAGCTCGATGGGGTGCAGATTTGGTTCTCGTCAGGAGCAGGCGTTGTGATCTCACAGTAATTTGTGTTTTGGCCCAGCGTAGATGCTCTAAATTGAACTTTTCTAGCCCATTACTTGTTTACGCTATGCGGTCAAGTTAAACGGCAACGTTTAATGTTAATGTCTTTCTGAAAAATAATTTTTCGGGTGACATCCAGCTGTATTATTTATTCTGTGGCAGTTTAGTTTGTCATTCTCATTTAAAAATAATAATTAATAGCTTTTTGTTTCTTTTGGACCTTTTGCTTTTCTTCATCCCTGTTCCCGTACTCCTTGAGCGGCTCAGCTTTTGTGTAAGCCACTAACTCTCACAAAGAAGAGAGCCAGTTTCCTACTCTTCTTCCAGAGACACTCCAGAAAGAACTGAGGAAATCTAGGAGACTGAATGTCTTCAAAACAGATGAGAGATCTTTGAACGCTCAACTAATGTAACTGCTTAGGTAGAAATGGGATTTGGATGAGGTTCTTCCTATGTTGTCTAGTTTCTTCTTTAACTTCTGATTCCCACTCCATTTGAATACATGATTTTAGCTACAATCATAGCCAATTGTATTGTGCTGGCTCTGGAGCAACATTTGCCGGATGGAGACAAGACACCTATGTCAGAGAGATTGGTGAGTTCTATTTATTTATTTAGATTTTTTGTTTCTGGTCTAATACAAAAAGCAATCAGCCATCCAGTGTTGTGGGTGCTTGTATCTATTTTTAAGATCTGCATGCAAGCAAATGGCATTGAACTGACAATCAGAACAAATAAGCTAGTGACAACAACTATAACCTCCCAATCCCATCTCCACAAGAATGCTTCATCACTCTAGCCAGCCCTGCCCAGCTGCGAGAAGAGCGGGACTTTACGGTATATCAGAAGAGCAGCAAACTTGGGTTGTCTGTAGACCAGGACAGGAAGGGACTGCCAAATGCTCAGAATTATCTGTAGAATCAAATGAACCTCTGTGCTATTGTCCCAGAAAGTGGTAGAACAGAGTATCCTTTTAGGCTCGCGTGCCTTTCAGCTCTCTTCCTGCTACAGCTGTATATCAAGGACCTTACAATACAAACTTTGGGTTTAGATTGTAACACTTCTCTGCCAAAAAAGCAGGAATTTAGGAAAATAATTTACCAGCAGGCTTTATGGTAATGAGCTCAATTACCTTATTTCAAAGGAAATATAAAAATAGCTTCAGAATCATTCTTCCATTTACCACCACTATAGGAAAAAAAGGATAATATTTAGTTTGATTTTTTTTTCTCCTGCTGTTAATGATCTGGAACATCTTTTATGCCTAAATGCATTAGTCCTGGTTTATATTCAATGGATGAATAAATATGTATCCATATGTGTTTTACGTGTAGATATTAAATAATTGAAACAGAGATAATATTAGCCTTGCTGCCAAAAGTTAGAGCCTCTGTCTTCTGGCTGCTACAGTTTCCAACGCTGGTCCATAGCAGTGGGCAACTTTCACAATCTCATTCTTCAGAAACAAACAAACAAATATAGTGATAGATCTAGAAAGAGCTTCAGGCTCAGCTAGTTCATACTGCCTGTTTGGAAATGTATCCACTGATACCGGTGCCCACTTACATTGTATTTGCTAAGTCTCTTTTTATGTCTATGTTTTTAAGTCTCTTTTAATTTCTATATAAAAAATTATAAGGAAAACATGAAGAATATGTGTTGATCTTTTTGCCATTAGATGACAATATGTCTTTGCATGCTTTGGGATCCTTGCTATCGGATCCAGATTTACTGGGTTTGTGAGCAAAGCACAGATTTAGAGTCAGGACAATGTTTGAGCTGGAGAAATGCCAGGGTTCCATCTATGGTCCTTGAATGTACGGACTAGAGGAAAGGTAGTTTTGTGAATTTTCTGGCTTGGTAAATCTTTGGTGATATGTAATTTTAAGCAAGGGGGAATATAGTTACCATGTTTCTATGCACCTCTATATCCCTAGATTTATAAAGGGATCCTAGATGCTGTTTGCTGGTCCTGTTCCCCATTGCATTAATTCCATGCCTGGTACTTGCATGTACACTTTCAGTTTCTGTCCCAGTCATTACAAAGGGGGCAGTGTCATTACCAGCAAACAGCATAAGATCACTGAATGAGTTAAATGCACAGTCTTCACCATCGAGGTGAAGGCTTCATCTTCAAGGCTCTGCCTTGGCAGTGGAAGCAGAATTAACCCTTGATTTGTGTCCCAAGTACTGCTGTGTAGCATTGTCTTTGATCCAGATACTCCAGGGCCATTTTAACTAAAGCACATTTGTAACTGAAGTGTAAAGGGGTTTAGAATGACATAACATGACAGTAGAATGACATAGAATGACAGTGAGGATATTTACAAGTCATTAAATTTTCTATTTCAACATATGCTTTAAAAATTAAACATTGTGGATACAAAAAACTGTCTTTTGGTTTTCAAAGTGAAACTTCCTTAGAATGCTCCAGTCGCTTCCACAAACTGTAAGTTGTTTCACTGAAAATGTTATGAATCCCTGTTAAGCTATAATGGGTGAATATTCCCATATATTTTCAGGGTTGTTAAGCCAAATTATAAGTCCATATATAACAGCAGGTGCTTTATTACTGTCTTTGGCAGTAATGGAATTATATTTTTAAATTATTATTATTTTTTGGTTAATGATTTACAGATATATCTTCTTTCCTCCTGCGTTCATTGAATTGGAGTGAGGTCTCATCACTGAAGAGTTAATCACATCTTAAGGATGAGATGCACATCATCAATGTTTTACAACTGGGAGATGTAGGCAGACTTGTTGAAGAAAAAAAACACAGCTGCAGAGATACTTTGTGCCATAGGTAGAAAGACAAAATCTTAAGATTTTTGTCCATTTGTTAAAATTGAGAAAAAGACAAGGGAGGGCTCAATAGAAACATTTTCATTATTTTTCTCTGCTGACCAAGATATTCCTCTATGTTTCTCCCCAGAGACCCAAGATACGAACCTGCAATGCAATCTCACTTGGCTGTTATCTGTGCTCATGTTACCTGACAAGCAGGGTTAATTGAGCACATGGGAAGAGAAAGCGATGTCTCAGTATATGCAAGATTTCAAGAGTTGCAATGGCTGAGTTACAAGTAATCTTTCTCAGTCCATCTTCTGTATGTAGTGTGTTACACAGAAAAACTGCTCATACCTACCCTGTTCCAGGGCTTGGTTTGTTCCTAGCTCTTTTTGCCTAGAGCTTCTGCAGAACTGGAAGCATATACGCTTATTGTTCTACCAGATTAGGATGGGGGAGACAAGCCTGTTAATGAAATCCAGGAAAATTATATCCAAATGGTTGAAGACTTTGTCAAAACACAACCATTCAGGTAGAAATGTACCTTTGAGTGATTCTTTCACTTTGGAGGGATGCCAAGTGAAAAAGTATGGAGGGAATTGCACTGAGTGGCCCAGCACCTGGTGTTCAGAGCTCCAGATGTGGCAAGGTCTGAGGCATGAGTGGCCTCACAGGTGGATGCCTTGCTCATAGTGTTCTTGGCTGTCCAACCTGAGGCGTGCTAGTGCTCTCTTTGCCTCCCTCTGAAATTCTCTGTTTTTCGTGAGAAGCTGCAGTAGATCATAAATTTGTCCCAGCCTGACAGAGACAGTGTCAGAACTTACAGGACAAGAAATCTATTTTCTGCCCTGCTTTGGGGCACACCATGTTTGAAGACACCAGCGGGTCTGTAGGATGCTCGTCTGCGTGTCACTGTAGGCTCTGAGTATTTGGCTTCCCCGGATGGTTTTGGTGTGAGGGCAAAGCATAACTGTTTTCTCAGATATTCATCATGACAGCTCCCTCACTTGGCTAATGGATTTAATTCTTTATGCTATCCACAGGCACTTTGTGCAGTCATATGTGAGCTGTTCATATTAAGCTTTGCATGAACAAAGCCTTACACACCCAAACCTATCAAGGCTGTCACATCCAAGGGCCAAGGAAAGACATTAGGACATGGACTAGGAATAGTAATGACTTTCCAGACTCAGAAGTTGTTTCTGATCTGAAACATATTGATTGAATGTGTGTTTGGCCCAGTCTCAAGCTTTGCTGTGTCCACAGCAAACAACCTGCTGGCACAGCTCTGGCTGCTGCCCAAATTCTCCACCCTCCTTCCAAGCATGCACACTGATATTCATTAACACCTGCTTCCCCACACCCAGCCTCCTATCTGAAGGGGGCTGCAGGATGCCCTGGCAGCAGGATTTCTGAGCCGACAGCTCTGCCCTTTCGGTGCTGCTCAGGGCAAGTCACCCAGCTCCTCGCACTCTAGCTCCTTCCATCACACACAGTAATGCAAAAATCCTTTTCTTCAGCCACAGGCCCCCACTACCTAGTGGGGCATTGTTTTATTTTTCATCCCATCCTTGTTACTGCCCTAATTCTTAGGCTGTTAGTTTAAATTTAGACAGACTTTAGAAAAGACCCTCTTTCTAGCCCCTTTTATTTCCCCAGCTACTCACTCCCAACTCTATCGACGATAATTTTTCTTTGTAATAAATACCCAAGCCCATCTGTGATCCGTCCTGCTTTCTTAGAAGCTGACAATAACTTTTTTTTTGACCCACTTCTTAAAAGCTCTGCATAGTCTTAGCTTTGGGAAGAGCATATTCTATAAAATCCTTGAGTACCTGAATCGTGGTCCTTTAAAGCTGTGAGCTGTAATCACAAGGCACCTGACCTAGATTGAGCGAGCGGCTGGTGGCAGAGTAGGTGTAAGGCTTTCAGGAAGTGAGGGAGTAAGGTGGGAGAGTGTGTGTAGGTAAGGTGGTGGTTTCTTTTTTTAAAAATTTATTTTAAAGATGAGTAGTTTTTAGAGGTGTACTAGTAGATGTAGGAAGGATGCGAAGGTTGGGCTTGGTGGGGGGCTTTGTTTGCAAAGATTTTGTACGTTTGTTGAGCTAGAAGGGGTGGAGGAGCAGGTAGACTAAGGGAGCTGGAGTGCTCCTGTGTGCATAAGGGAAAGCCGAGGAGCAGGAGCAGTAAGGTAGCTTCTTCTGAAATCCCAAATGACAATTTCTGACCTCTCTTCTTGTTTCCTTCTTTTCTGTACTGGCTTGTAGTCCTGGGATACTTCCAGCTCTTGTTGTGGAGAAACTGCTAGAAGAAAGCTCTTATTGCATTGTGTTTGGGGAGGGTCAAAAAGCGTCTGATAGCTGTGCCTTATGCCTGTTTCTTTGTGGGTAAATAGCACTGGGCTGACTGGAGTTTCTCAGGCTGGCAGCTGACAGGCCCTGAATCCTCTGGGATCAGTGAGGTTCTGTGGAGGGGCAGAGAGCTTGGAGGCTGCTGTTTGTAGAAAAACCTTGGCTGAAGGAGAAGCCAATTTTTGTTTTCTCTATTTCAGTCGAAGGGCAACAGTGTGATCTCAACAGTCACCTGCTCTGTTTTGCTGTCTAGCCAGTTAGTGTGCGTGTGCGTGACCTGCAGGTAGCTGGCCCTCCTGCCTGGCCACAGCAGAAGGGGAATGGGGAGCCGTGAGGTTAAGAAAGGTGGAGGGGATTAGAGATGTTATAGGGTGAAGGATAGGGGGGAGCTGGGGTCACTGAAGTGTGTGTAGGGTGCTGATTTGTTGGAAACAAATCTTTTTAACTCAGCCACTGATGGAAAATCCTGTCCAGAGGTAGTCACTTCCAACAGCTTAGAGGTGCCGTCAGTGATTAGTGCTTCATGGTTGACTTGCTGAGTTGGGTACACATCGATGTGCTAAGTGCTTAAGCCTCTTTGGGAGGGGTGTGCTATTATGCTGCTCTTCTATGTGTGAAAACCTGGCTTTCTGTAACAAGTACCGTGCCTAAAGCATGGTCTGTGTGCTGGTGCAGGGTCAAATTTGAGCAAGAGTTACTATGTTGTAAAAATAAATGCTTGTATCAAAGCTGTTCCTTTCTTTGTTCTGTGACCACAAACACTTGACATTCATGTTCTTTCTGCACAGGATAACTAAAATCACCTTTTGTCATTAGCAGAATTGCAAAATGTAAACAACTGCGCACCAAACAGCTGCTCAGCTCTTTGGCTGTAATGGTCAGAAATGCCAAAGCCCCTGGAACAAAGATTTCTAATTTCCTAATTTGTGAGTTTGCTTCCTTCTGGGTAGGGCTGCTGTACTTCCATTGCCGTCAGCAGAAATCATGGATCTAAGACACACTTGGAAATTGGATACAGAGGCCAAAGCTAATTAACATGTTCTTGAAACTGATGCCTGGTACTTTCACCTTTTACTTTGTTCTCATTTCTTGTCCACGTATTTCTTCCAACTTTGAATAATTGTATTTGGCACGGCATTTGTGTTTAAACTCTTATCAATATAATACTGAGGGATCTGGTGCCAAAGATGGAGAAGATGTTTAGTAAAGCCATGGAGACTAAGCCTGGTCTCCTCTCATGTGAGCTAGGGCATGGAGCTGTGGGCCTGAGACACAAATTTTACTGCTTCTACCATAACAGAAGGGAATGAGGTTTTCTCCCTGAATTGGTTACATAGCAAAAGAAAAATAAATGAATCTGCAGCTATGGAAATTAGGAACAGAGAGGGAAAAGAGTGAAGTAAGAACCGATGGAATAAATGATAAAGAAATAATTTCCTGCCTGTGTTTGCAAGCTTGCTGTGCTGACTGTTACTTCTGAAGATATTCTTTAGTTTCTGTTTCCTGGATGAATTGCAAAATGTGTGTTTTCTTCCATGTCAATAATTACAGAAATGTGATCTCAAGTTTATATTTACCCTTGGAGCAAGATTTCAGCGTTGAAACTCCTTCCAGAATCTTGAGTAATGGTGCAAAGTGTGGGGTGAAACCATTGGAATAAAGGCAAATAGAGTTTTCCATGCAAAAAGCCAAATCTACCTTCAGAGTGAATAATTCTGAAATCTTTCTCTGTGCTTAGTTCCAGTACACTTGAACCTTTTTGTTTCAACTCTGTCCAGAGGGCTGAAAAGGGCATGAAGTTGGTGCACATTGTTGCTTATATAATTGCTGATGCGAGTGCAGAAGCACAGGTATCTCCTTGACACCTCTGATTTTGTTCTTTTCAGGATGACACTGAGCCGTACTTTATTGGAATATTTTGTTTTGAAGCTGGTATAAAGATCATCGCTCTGGGGTTTGTTTTTCACAAAGGCTCTTATCTCAGAAATGGCTGGAACGTGATGGATTTTGTTGTGGTCCTCACAGGGTAAGTGACCTCCTCTCGCCCCAAGTTTAAAGGGGAGTCTTGCTCTGATTTGTGGTGTTCTTAAACTACAGGTTGGGGTGGGAGTGGTTGTGGTGAAATAGTACTCTAAAACTGCATTTGTGACCTTGCTGTCTTTAAATAACGGTTATTGTGCTGAGTGAGTCGCTTTCCAAGCATTGTTTGAACCAAGTAAAAAGAAGTTTTGAGGATATTTATTTGTACATATGCTGGCATGTTTCTCATCCAGATGCTCACTGACGTTTCTCAGGCTTTGCAGGTTCTAATTGCCACTAGGTACTTGAACCTGATTTAAATCAATCTTTCTCCTGACATTACAGGCTGACTTCAAAAGTCAATGTGGAGTGAGCTAGCAAATTAAATGCATCCCATCTTTAAGCTATTATAAGTCAGAAATCAGTGAAGTTTATGCAGGAATGCATTTGGTTTACTACAAAATAACTTTGCTGAAAATAATTCAAGGAGGGCGCATGTCTTGTAAGGTTGCAGCTGAAAACATTATTTGTGTTTTGTACCCTGGTTGAAATGATACTACTAATTTGTTTCTTGGAAATGCTCACAGTTTTGTTATGCATTGCAACGGTTTCTATTTTTATATCCATGTACATGTAATGTACAGCTAGTGGATAATGAAAATGCAAGCATTAAGTAACTCTTAAAGTCTACAAATTGTGCTTTAAAGCTCCAAATGAAATGTTAGGGTTTCCAAAGGTCTGCGTGAGGTCCTGGAATGATCTTGGTTAGTTTTTCCCCACGAAGATGAACCCTGGTTCTTGTTATTAATAGGCGCTCATTTCACACACCTGTGTGTGACGGACATATATATTCTTTGGTCTGCTTAGTGGTGTACAGTAGGATGCTGTTCGGAAAACGCTTGCATACATATACAAATATATTCATTAGATGCATTAGCACTGTAATTCTATTTGCATTCAGTGTATCATGTGATACAGCAATTGAGAGGCCAAAGGGAGTTCTTTATGTATTGAGGAAGAAAATAAATATGCAGGGCTTGATCCTCCTGCTGCTGGGGCTGGGTATTTAATCAATAGAAACTTCAGTGGAGCCACAAGCAGAATCAGATTTACATACTTGGAAACATAGGGGGTACTAGGATGAAAAGAGAATTAATACAGATGTTACAAATATTTGCACTGATGGTCTGTTCTGATTCCTAGTTTGCACTATACCCTTTTGTGTGTTTAAAAAAAAACAAACAACACACACACAAAAAAACAAACATTAAAAAATAAATAAATCACTAAATCAAGGCCCTAGTTCTGGAAAGGACTTTGGCACATGTTTTAATCTACCCTTCAGCAAAACATTCAAGTACATGTTTGAATTCAGCTGACTCAAACGGTTCCGTACTTTAGGTTCTACGTAAAAGCTGTCCTGAATTAAAGCCATATAGGTATTTGTTTGGACGTGATTTTTTTCTGTTTTTTAATGAACACAGGCCAAGAGTCTAAAAATGCAGATTTAAAAACTGCCTAGATGTGATGCAGGCGTTCAAAGTTTTGCAACAGCATCTGAAACACTGTGTGCCATGCTTGTGGAGTCACAAACAACTGTGCAATGCTATAGGCGTGACACGGGCATCTTACTGGTGCCAGTTTTATTGTGAGCACTGTTTGCAGCGCTGTTTGATCTCTGAGCATAATTGCGGAATATCGGCTTGATTAGACAGCTGTAATAAGGAACCCTGTTGCCATCTGCAAACACGCGTATTCTTTTGAAGTACAATCCTGTTAACGTCAAAGCTTCTGGTTTCCAATGGTGATGCTAGCTGGGCTGCATTGAAACTGTCTTGTACATGGACTTCCCGCCAGGCAGGCCGTGCAGGGAAAGCAATGTGGAAACCAGTCAACATCCAGCCCAGGAGTTAGCTCTAGTGAGGAAACCCACAGCCTGCTAATCTGCTAAATTGAGGCCTGGATTTAGCGAGGTTCTTAAGCTTGTGCCCAACTTTTGGTGTCTGAGGGGCCCTACTGCAAACACCGAGTGTGCTTGGTTAGGTAAATGCTTCGTTAGGTAAATGTCTGGGGCTGTAATTGCAAACCCACTGTTAATGTGGAGGCACCTATGGTAGAGAAATAGCATTGAGAGGGGAGCTGCAGATTCACACGGGGGGTTAAATTAGTATTTCCTCCGTAGCTGGCTGTGTTTTGCTCTGAATTTCCCTAGATCCTTGTGTTTTACCTTATTCCTGTGTTGCCATTGGTCTGTGCTAGAAAGCAGAAGCTCCTCTTCCTCAGGCTTCCTTCAGAGGCTAGAAATGCTTTCAGCCACCCATTGCCTTCCTCGGCTTGGCTAGCTGATGCTCGAGAGGAGCCTGAGCATGGCCTCTTCCTGGAGTGAATATTGCTTGGCATTTCTGCATCGAGACACTGAAGGCAGGTTGCTGCGTAGAGATGCTTACTGCTAACAGCCCCGGGTGTTTCTCCAGGGAGCTGGTGGCACAAATGAAGCTTTCATTTTCCTTTCTGGGGAAGGTGATCACAGATCTGTTTCAAAACAAAAGGCAAAAAGGCAGAGAATAATAACATAAAAGGACAGTGCTGAACTTGTACTTTATGCATTCTTATAAATATGGATATGCAGGACATCAGTTTTTGAAATATACTTTTATTACTCATAATCAAAAGCTTTCCTTTGCCGTATGTGCAAGATTTCCACTTAAAAATGTTGCTTCATGTTTCCCAGGCAGTGATCAGTGTTCAGTTCCCAAGCTCAGTTTCACGCTGATCTTCAATATTGTAGAAGGATTTTGATTTTTCTTTTTTTTTCCACGTAAGCAGGAGAGATCGTGAAATGCATTTTCATGATATCACATGCAGAGTTGTATACCTGTTAATGCTGGTGGGTGTACATTTTTAAGGTAAATGGTGAACATCAGAAAATCCGATCTCACTTTCAGCATTTAGCTAAAGCCCATAAAAGCAAAGAGCAGCTCTGCTCTCGTTGGCTGTTTCCATAGGAAGAGGGCCAGCCAGTGTCTGGGTGTGTTTTGGAGGAGGCTGTGGGGGAAGGCACTGCATTGATTGAATTTACCCTTATGTAAATGTTAGCGATCGTGCAGTAACCCTTCCCACTTGCTTCTTTTTTGTCACCACCCCTTCCATCGCCACTCAAGGCCTGCGTACTGTTATTACTGATAAATATGTATTTTTTTATTTGCCTGCAATGACGGACATTTTGCTTGTCAAAATCAGAGAGTCACACTTGTTAATCAGAAAATAAATCAGGGTGCTGTTATACGCAGCCAGGATCAATATCCTATTGAGCTAAACTGAACGCTAATAGACAGTGGCCCCAAACGGCTTGGTTTGCTGTTCCAGAAAACACTCCCCCGGTTCTTTCCACAGCAGTGCCGCGGTGCCTTTTTCTCATTTACTTTCAAGGAAGCCTGCTGATCTGCTGTTAATAAAGGCCTGGGAAAATAATAGATTGCTGCTCCCTGGAAGATCTTTTCCTCTGTAATTTTTTTAGTTATTTCTTGTAAACTCCTATAGCTGTAGATGAGTATCGAGGAAAGCTGCCCTACTGCGATGTGCTTTTTGCTGTTGTGGAGACACACATTTTATAGCGCCTGCTCATTTTATTTTCACGTTTTTATGGGCTTGCATTTGCTCCAGTGATGACATCACCCGTTAGCAGCTCTAAATCACACAAGAATGCAATTGCCCAGTTGGCCTGGGACTATATGATCTTAACGTGCTTTTCCCAAGGGAGGAGAAAGGGGATCTTTTACTCTGCTGCTGCAACCCGTCTTCGGGTGGAAAACTCAGAAATACACAGCTGTCTTGGGAACCAAGTCCTCCCCACACCCAGTGCCCTCAGTTACATGGCAGCAAATGGAGGGAGCCTGCATTCAGGACCTCTACAGTTGAAACCTGTTTCTGTTGGAGTTATTTATAAGATTTCTCCTGGTGTCCTGAGCTTTAGATAAAATGGCCTGAAGAATTGCTGTGCTGGGTTAAACTACGAGCTCCTCTCTCACTGGAGCTTGTGTAATAGTGTGGGTTCTAGGGGAAGAATGAGAACAAAACATGAATCCTTATCTTCCTATTATCTTCCTGATTCCCAAATTTCATAGGTATAGGGATTTTTGAAGAAAAGATGGGTGTGATGACTTTTAAACTAGATAATCCAAGTGGACTCTCCTTCTAGGCTATATTTTGGAATCTGTTTATAATTTTGACTGCATCATATCCTGGATAAAAGGTTTCATGATCTAACTGTGGACCAGAAGAGAAGCTACCACTTATCCCCTTTTTCCCGTCACTAGTTACCTGGGGTTTCCCTTAGAGTCTTCTGGATTTTGTTTCTGTATGCTTTTGGTTTTATGAGTTTCCAGCTTTTCCCCTGTCAGAGTCCTATGCTGCCTGACCTCCCTTGACCTGAGAGCTGCTCTGTGCACCACTGACCTGTGCTGCTCTTCTGCTCCTTCCCTAGTTCTAGAGTATCCTCTTGGACCAGTGACCGTGACCATGTGCAGTGTTTGTCCAATACTGAGAGCTGCTAAGACTGGTATAAATAAATGTAGCACTTAACAAGCTCATGCTCTGTCCTTTATGAGCAGAGTTAGTTTTTTTTTTTTTTTTTTTTTTTTTTTTTTTTTTTTTCTTCATTTAATCAGCCTGCGTTGAACACTCTTGAAGAGTCCTGGTTGTGCCTTGAGCCAGTTGGATCAGCTGCCTGGATCTCTGGGTGGGACTGGCAGAGACAGCGTGTGCCAGGCCGGGAGCTGCCAAATGATGTGCACAAAGTATCTGTGCAATTACTGATGTCTCAGGCTGTTGGGAACAAATTACAAAGGCTAGAATTATCTTGATTGTCTGGATGACAGAAATGTGCTCCTAGCCTCACTGGTGATGCTAATAATCTGGAAGGTAACTCTTTTAATAATAAGGACCTGTTCATCCTTGATATTAGCTTTGCTAGTTACCAGGATCATCTTCGTATGTGGGCAGTCTGAG